TTAAAGCTGCAGAAGGTCATTTTTATATCATATTTGTTGAATCTTTCACTATATTCTGACAGAAGCACACGAGGCAGATAATCTGTGAAAGAATCGGCGTCCTCTGGCTCCTCCGGCCCTAACGGTATTTGTAAGAATCCAGCGGACCCGAACGAAGAACCGAGCGTCGTCCTGTGTCAGCAGGAAAACCTGCAAAAGTCAGAATATCTCGGTTGCTTCGTGTTTTCAGTCCTCCAGACTTCACGGACACTAAGATTTCCTCCACATCGCGACCCAGGTGTGAGCGTGCTGCATTCAGGGGCTTTTCTCTGTGAAACTGTAGCGTGCAGTAAACCGAGAACAGAGATTCAGTTCTGACTGAAACCAGAACCTGTGCTGTAGCTGATTTGCCTTTTAGGTTGATGTTTAGTTTCTCTGTGCTTCCTTTTTATGATTTCTACCTGCAGCTTTAGAAAGAAAGACAGAAGAAGCTCTTTTTTGACGCTGTGATGGGATTTTTCCTTCACTTTCCTGCCTTTTTAAAGTTTGTCTCTTGTTGGTAAAACGTTCCTCCGTCTGCCCCCTCCTGCCCCGCCGGCTGAACCTGCCTCTGACTTTGTAATTCAGTACTTTTCACAATATATATTTTTTTTGTTTGAAAAGACAAAAAAAAAGAAAAGAAAATGGAATAAAATAAAAAAAGACGGTAAAAATTACTGGGTTAAATATCACTAAAACGCCTTGTTTTAACGGTAGCTTTTAAATGAATAGAAATGTAAAAAAAAAAAAAACTAAAAATGTATTTAAAAAAAAAAAAACTTCCAAAATATTTTTTTGAAAAGAGAAAAAATAAAATTTACATATCAGTATGAAGTTGGTTTATATGCGTCTACGGTTTTCTTGCTTAGGTATGTTTGGTTATGTTAGTGTGCAATCTGTTGCATGGTCGTAGAGTTTGTGTTTGTGTGACGACGGCGGGAAAAAAAGAAAATCGAAAAAGATTTTGTTTCTTTTTGTTATTATTATTATTATTATTATTGTTTGTTCTTAAATGAATCTGCAGTCCACTTCTCAGGGTCACAACCAATCACCTTTTACTATTTAGGAAAATGCAGATTTACTTGACGGCTGATGATTCTTTGCTCGGACTTTTCCCGCTCTCTCTCCACCCGGCGAGCTTTTTCCCTCTTGAGAAATGTTTGTGAGTAATTATCGACTTTTAGTTTTATCTTTTTGGTCCCAGGACTGTGAAAATGAACTTTCTTTTGACGTTCTCAGTCGACTGTTGGAAACCCATCGAGATGGAGAGAAACTGTTGGTCTTTGTTTTCAGCGATGTTTTATAAGTGTACCCTAACATGGTTTAAGAAATGTACTTTATGCTTTTTAACTCTTCTTATTTTCCGTGTTAACTTAGTTACATTTTTGCTAAAGTGTTTAAAATATTTAAACCAAAAAAAAAAAGTAGCAATGATCTTTTAACCTATCACTACTTTTATAATAGTTTCTTTTTTTTGGTTGTTTTTAACTGTTTAGGTGTTTGTTAACAGCGGTTGGCGTCGGTGCTCTGACACGGTGGACGTTAATGTTTTTAATGCGTCTGCTGTAGAGAACGTCGAGCCCGAGCCGAGTCATCACACTGCGGGACACAAAGAGTGACTGAGTGCTAAAGAAGCTTAAGAAAATAATGACAAATTATGATTTAATAATTACGACTCGTGTTTCATTTTTTACTTATCTCATTATTATTACGACTTCTCATCTCATAATTGAGCCTTGCTAAGCCCCGCCCCATTTCGCGCCGTGTTCCAATAACAGTTGAGCACCCCTCGGTCAACTCCCTCGTTTCCTGTACTTAGATATGTTACGTGCCTTTGCTAATCTATGTTGACACATTTTAAAGATGGTTAAAAGGTAAAAGGAAAAGATGGCCGAGGCTAGCTCGACCGTAATTGGAGCGCGGAGCAAAAAAAACGGCGGGACTTATGAAGGGTCAGTTGTGACATTAAAGGGCAAACATTTAACTTCACTATCTCATAGTTTCGACTTATCTCAACCTACATTTCCATTTCAACACGTTCAGGTCATTATTTTAACTTTATAAATAAATATATATATATAACAGAGTTCGCAGTGTGGGTGGCGTTGATTGAACGGTAGCATTATTGAGGAAGCACTAACAATCGTTTGTTAGGCGTCCGTATGGTTTGCTGTAAATAATCCATAGTTGAGTGATTCTCTCTCTGGTGTATTTAACCTTTCTCTTTTTATTTCTCGAATGTCTTTCTCTCTCTCCGCTTTCGAGCGTTTGCGATCGTGGACGATGTTATTTTGTGTTTTAGTGTTTTTTAAAAAAAGAAAGGCAAACTTAAAGACAGAAGGGATCGGAGGAGGCGTCTCCTCCTGCTGTCCGGAGCCTTTTGTTGTTTTTATGTTTTTATTTTCTGTTCTCAGTTCATCTCTCCATCGTCAAACTAACAGGGATTTGTAATGTTTTTGTTCAATGCCTTGAAATTTGTGGATCACGTGCCTTCCAGGTTGAAATGTTGTAACGACAATGCATCAATGAAGAACTTGAACTCCCTTTGTTTTTTTGTTTTCTCTCTCTTTCTACGTCCCCGAGCGGACATAATAAGTAAATAAATAAAAACAGACAGACATCAGAAACCAACTATGCACCACTCGGAGGAAGCTTGTCCACCCGCCCAGTGTACAGCTTTTATAACGACTCAACAAACCAGACAGAATGATGTAGCAAAACCTCTTTTCTCCTCGTTTGTTTTTTTTTTAAAAGAAAAAAAGAAAAAGTGTGAAGAATATTTGTGGCATCTTTATTTTTCACCAAGTGTTAGATGTTATTTTTGTTTTGTGTAGTTTACTGGAATAATACAGCACTTTGCCAAAAAGGAATAAAAAGGTGTAGGATTTTTTTTGTTTTTTGTTTTAGGGTTAACTTTTTATTTATCGACATATTCATTCTTTGTTTTATTTGTTTTTTGGATGTGTGACAGATCAATTCACTCTGTTCTGATGTCAAAACAAAAAAAGCTAATTAAACAGTGGGGTCATCTGTTTATGAACTGTAATAGTTAATACATGTGATCTCTTATTAGCCGATAATAAATGTTTTCATAAGCAGCTCTCGTGTCTCCGGCTGATTCTTCTGCTTCACAAATCTTAACTCAAAGTCGA